GCCTACAAGTTGGCTTTGAACTCACTGATGGTGGCATCGCAATCGCAGCGATTGACTCAACTGAGCTCAAGGGCAGCTCTGCCCCACTTCTGCTGAGCATTGGAGACCAACGAAAACTTGGATTTTGCATCGAACTGAGCAGCAAAACCCCAGAGTATATGTCTTCAGCAAAAACTCTGGACTGTCAACTCAAGATTGCGGAGATGAATGGACTTCTTGGACTTCGCCTTCTACCTTCGCACTCGGTCAGATCAGTGAACCAGATGAGCCTGAGTCGTCAGGGACCAATCTGACCATTCCAGTCAGTCGCAGACCTGACTTGACTGAAGATGACTGAGCTCCTGAATGCCTACGGCATTGACATCCGCTTTGGTGGCCTTGAAGCCCCCTTCCAGTTGGGAAGAACAGAACGCCAAGGTGGCATCCTGAAGGACATCCTGAAGTCCGTCATCCAAGACAAGCAGGTCATTGGAGTTGAGGAAATCAAGATAAGATGGTCATCGCTGAAGCTGTCACGATCAAGAACAACCGTCTCCTTGGCCGGCTACCAAGAGAAGTTTGCTCTCTGGCAGCTCACGATTCACGATGATGATTTGGAACACCTTGGAGTCCATCAAGGTATTGAAGATCCGTTGGATGAGTTCTCACGCCAGCTCCAGATCAGGCAAGCGGCCAAGCAAGCTTTTGTCCAAGCCGATTCATCAAGAAGAATCAGAACCGCCCTGCTACGGAAGTCAACACCACTTCGTGGGCCATACAAAGTTGGTGACCTTGTCAGCTTTCATCGAAAAGGTCGTTGGTTTGGACCAGGGAACCTCTGGCCGTGCAATCGTCGTCTCAGAGAATCAGATCCGTCCAGCTACAAGATCTGAAGTGCTGTCCAAACAACTTCTGGAGGGAAGATCTTGAAGATAAGGTTCAAGAAGCAAATCGAATTTCAGAGGACCTACATGTTCCAGCCCTTCGAGAAGATCAAGAAGACCTTCAGCCAGGCTATGTGGAACTGCCTCTTGAACCAGTGCCTTCACCGTCGACTATGCCAGCGGCAACTTCCGGTGAAGAAGAAGAACCAACGCCCTATGAGGTTCCTTCAAACCTGCCTGCAGTTCCTGAAGAAGAAGCTGTTGACTTTGAGGAAACGCCTGTTCCAGAACCACAAAAAGAACAAGATCGACAGCTATCTGGTCAGCCGGAATCTGAAGCATCACATCCACTGACAGTGCCAAACACTCCAATCTTGGCACCCTCAACATCTTTGAGGACCGCTCTTTCCAGATCAGTTGATCAATTGGATGGCTATCCAAGGCCCGAAATCCGACCTCCACCTGAAACTGCCACTCCGTGAACGCTCTCGCTCACCTTCGAGAGGTGTGCCAGTCCCTGAAGAGGATCGTGGACTTCTTGCTACGGCGCAAGAAGAGCGAATATTCAAAGGTTTCCTGGCCAAAAGATTCAAGAAGAAGAAGCGTCAAGTCGGAGCTCACAGGGAGGTCAACTTCAACACCTGTGACGCCAAGACTCGCTAGGGATTCATTTTGAGTCGAAAGAAGGAGTGGAAGAATTGGATGGACTTCACTGCGGTCAACGTCACAAAGCCCAACGACATCCAACGACGTGAAGGACTTTCTCAAGAAGAATCCGCGCGTGAAGATCGTTCCGACCAGATGGGTCGACTCCGACAAGTCAGAAGTCGGAGAGGAGGAGCAGCTGAAGTCAAGACTTGTTGTCAGGGGTGACCTTGAACACCATCCCCACAAGCCCAGGACAGACAGCCCTGCTTGCTCACGATTGATTGTGGACCTCATTTTGGCACACGCAGCTTCTGCACGCCTACAAGTACATGCAGGGGACATCAGCGCTGCGTTCCTCCAGGGTGTGAAGATCAACAGAACTCTGGTTCTGGCATTGCCTGCTGGTGGAGTCCCAGATGACAATGTGCCTTAAGGTTTTCTGCTTGCGGCGGAAAAGTCTGTGTACGGCACCACCGACGCTCCTTGTGGCTTTTGGAAGCGCCTTCATGAAGTGTTGATTTCTTGAGGTTTGAAGCCAATCCCATCGGAAGCTGCTGCCTATTACCTTCCTGGCCCTGCTGGTGAGATTCATGGTCTTTTGGGCACCCACGTGGATGACATCCTGTGGACAGGCAGCAAGCTCATGGATGATGCCATGACCTCAGTTCAAGGTCTGCGGAAGACTTATCAAGCAGACTGAGGAGGGCATCTCCCTTTCAAGCCCCAACCAATGTCATGGTCATGGACAGGGTGAAGCCTGTATTCATTCCACAAGATCGACGAGCCCTTCGCGCCGAACGTGCCACTCATGAGGAGATCTCCCAACTGAGATCAGTGTTGGGAAGCGTCTCATGGTTTGCCCGGACTTGCCGACCGGACCTTGCATTTGCTGTCAACCAGTTGCAATCCGTCCAATCCACTGCCCGAGTACAAGATCTGATTGAGGCTATAACCGCCTTCTCAGCTACTCCGTCAAGACCGAGAACAAGGGCATGCTGCTCAGCAAGGATTCAATCCTGTTGGCCAGATTGCGTGATCCTCCCGAGCTCTGATGCCAGCCATGGTTCAAGCTTTGAGGATCTTGGCAATGGTCGCTTGGGCGGTAACCGCCCCTAGTGTGGGAGATTTTTGACTTTGGCGCCAAACAACTTCATGGAGGAGGGCAAGGGCATGGTTTCTATCTTGTCTTGGTGCTCCACTACCATCAAACGTGTTTGCCGCAGCACAATGCAAGCTGAGACCTTGAGCTGGCAGCTTGGTTCCGAAGAAGCCGAACACCTGAGGCAGATCTTCTTTGAGATCAAGAACCTCGGTGACGGCAACAAAGGAAAGGAGAAGTTCACCAAGGCCAGCGACACCATGCATGTCCATTGGCTGGCTCACTGATTGCAGGAGCCTCTATGATCACTTGTTCCAGCATGGAATGAGTGAAGTGACTGACAAGAGGCTTGCAATCGACCTCACGTCACTCTGCCAAGACGTGTGGAGGAAGCTGGGGGAAGAAGCTGGAAACCCATGCTTTGATGACGCTCCACCTCGTGAAGGAACCACAAAGGTTGCATGGGTGGACACCCTGACGATGGCAGCCGATGCTCTCACGAAGAAGATGAAAAACCCGCAGCTAGAGATGCTGGTGACCACTGGCCAGCTTGCTGTGAGCTTCACGAAGCTCAGCGGTTTCCATGAGAAACAAAATAACAGGTGTGAAAATCATTTTGAGAGCATGATGCAATCATGAAGCCTTCATGGAAACCACTGGTAGTGACATGCTGTGAGCCCGCCATCACTGATGGCTCAAGCTGTGCGCCGTGAAAAGGTGCGACCTTCGCCCGCGCAAGCCCAGTTCGAACACATTATGTGAAAAGCTGAGGCAGCTGAGCACTACTGCGGAGGCAATATATAGTGTCTTCAATTGCGCAACCTGACCTCGAACATTAAAGGTTCTGGGTTGGGCACCCTCTTGGAGAGGTACTCGTAGTTTGTGTTGGTGAAGGTTAGCTCCACAAGTGAAAGTGCTCCATTTGAGGCTGATGGCAAGGAAGGATTGAAGCCACAGTGAAGTTTCAGCCAGCCTAAACCCAAAAGAAACCCTTTGCAATAAGCTTCAGAAACTGAGCACCAAGGGGCCGATTGACGATCGTAAATCAAGATGCCTTCGACTTTGGCCTTCCAGCCTTCAGGGAGTTTGTGTGCACAAGCGACGTGAAACGAGTGCAGCGCACGCATGATTGCATGACCCGCAGGGCAGCAAAGCGCCAGAATGAGCTCGCCAAACTGGAACTTAAAAAAGCACTCAGATGGGCAATTTGTTTTTGCTCAGCCAGCTCCTCGACACTGGACAATTATTGACAAGGAAAACATGGCATAGGCACAACTGCAGGAAAGGGCTCTAGCCTTCTCAGCACTTCCATGTCCACAAGAGCCTCCAACGGCGTGGGTGAACTCACAGAAGAGCCAACGAACGCAGGTCAGCAATACCAGTGGGCCCCCATCTCACTCATTGTGTGAGGTATTGTGAGTATTGTGCACCTTGGCCTGGGCCCGTTCTGTGCACTGAAGGTGCTGGCGCCGTTCTCCTAACAACAAGCGCCTTGCCCGCCTTACCCCTGCATAGTTTTGGCCAGAGACGTGTCAATGAATCAAGCTGGAGCATGTTCTCGACATGTTTCCGTTTGATTTGCACCTGCTCGCGGCATTATCACATATTATTGCAATTCTTTTGCACGCAATCAGCTTCAAAACTAAAGGCATGCATTCCTACCGCTGAACAAGTAGCATGGCATGGCAGAAAATATAGTACGCCAGGGCGCATTGTGCCTAATGATTGAAGATTCAGCAACAAAACTGAAAGAAAGCACTTACCAGTAATTAGTAATTATCCTACAGTAAACTTTTTGGACACAGCACAAAGATGCACAAAGATGGTGAACCAAGGTTGTTTAAAGTGCTGCTAAGCAAGCGGAGAACAGCCGCCATGGTGCACTAATCTAATGATGGGTCGTTGCCTTTGGTGAGACCTACACATGGGACTGGGGTGGCGTTGCTGTTTTTTTGCGATGCAATATGCAGAACCGTCAACGACTTAACGTTGTCATCGGTTTCAATCACAACATTGACCATGTGATTAAATTCGGGTGGGGAGGGTGGGGTGGGGCAGCACCTATCATCGGTTTCACAACATTGTCATCGGTTTCATACCATTGTCAATGACTTAACATTGTCATTGGTTTCATGACATTGTCATCGGCTTTTCATTGTCATCGGATGACCATGTGATGAAATTGGAGATGGGACAAGAGATTTTTTTTCGCCCTTTGGTTTTTTGACGAATCCAAAGCCGTGAAAAGGGTTCACGATTTCCGAATTCCAAACGTACGTATGTTTTACCTTGCTTTTGGGTGTATGCTGCTGACGGTGGCATATTCCCATGTTTGGTGGGGCTACCTACCTTTGCCTTCTCTCACACTTTGGCACTTGAGCAAATCGCAGGATGGTGACCGACTGCAGTACAAACTTTTGGATGGTGACGGACCTTTGACTGGTTGGATCAGCCTCACCACACAAGGGAGGCAGCCCCGGGTCTGCAAATGGTCAGTTCCAGTCTTCTTTGTCCGAATGGTTGCGAGGGATGGAAAACGGACGAGGATGAAGCAGCTTTCTACCTTGTTGAATGCTTTCTGATAGGTCACTTGTTCCCTTTGTTGAAAAATATCAACACGCTTATGAATGACGGTGCTGAAAGAGCTCAGGCTGGTTGTCCTTTCAGAAAAGGTTTGGATTGCATGTGGCGGCCTTGAGAAAGGCGGTTTGTTGGTGAGAGAAGGCAGGGAGCGTAGTGGAGCATGATGAGTTGTCACCAAACACGATGTGACGGTTTCACGGATGCGCCCTTTTGCCACCGAATTAAGGTCTTGAAGACAGTAGGGAAATAAGTTTCACAGCCCATCACACACAATTTTGAGGAGATCAACATGAAATTGATAAGAATCAAAAACAATCTTCCTGAACTGCTGGCACTTGTATTTACAGCGGTTTCGGGAACCCAACACAGGGGAAGGATAGGTTTGTTGGCCCATAGAGGGTAAAGTCTAACAGGCTCTCGCTTGATGCGCATAAAGGCGTGTAAGGTTGGATGAAATCACAAAGGGTGCGTGACCTGAGAGGCTCTTACTGTATGGCGCGAGGGCGTTACCCTTGGTTGGTGACCGCTGGGGTAGATCATTCATTGATGATTGCTTTAAGTTTGACCCTCACATGCTGGGTCGCGAAGCACAAGTGGCTGTGCGAGGTTTCTTGTAAAATTTACCCTGGGGTGGGGCCACAACAGGATTTGCCAGGTTTGTTCAAAAGGCTGCCACCACCCTGAAAACCATAAGACACATAGGAGATCAACCCCCTAAACCACTGATATGAAAAACGGATTTCGGAGGAGCTAGGGATAGGCAGCAGGAGCCGCAGCAGCAGGAGGAGTGGGCATGTTCACAGTGGCATCAATCATTTATCCAAATTCATCAGTATTTGCCCAAATGCGCGTTTGCAAAGCTGTGCAGGTAGTGAATTGACGTCGAGCCTGATGCCGGACCGATTGGGGAATCTTGCTTGAGTCTATGGCATTCTACACCCACAGCAGTCAGGCGGACAGACGGACGACACCACAAACAAGAACAAGGAGCTAACAATCACTGCAGCCGTATGAAGTAAACTGTTTGCTTCTTTCATTGTCTAATTGGAGCAACTGCTGCGCCCATGCGTGACCCCTGGAACAGCACACCAGGACGAACAAAGACTGTAACCCCGTCCATTTACTGTAAACAAAGCAGATGCAACCCTCAACAAGAAGAGGAAGAAGAAGAAGAAGGTAGGGTGCCCTCTTCGCCTATGATCTTCATGGGTTCTCGTAAGCTAAAAATATCAGAGAATTGAAGTTTCCACAAAAATTGCAACATCCCAACTTGCACTCGATGACAACGGTGTGACACCGACGACGACGTTGTGAAACCCATGCCTGTGATGCCCCCTACCCCACTTGAATTACAATGACATGGTCGGTTTGGTGACAATGTTGTGAAACGATGACAATGCCAATGCGAAGCCGGCTGCAATGCTATCAATGTTTTTGAGACGATGATGGCTCTTCCCTACTCACTACTCAATATGGTAGTTTTGTTCTGATGGTTGATGATCCTGAGTCTTCTCGTATGTTGTTTTTGAAGGGCTACCAGGTTACCAACAAACACCAGAGGAATGACCCCGTATGTTGTCACGAGGGCTGCCAACAACCACCAAAAAACATATCAAAACAACCCAGTGTGGCCCTTTGTGAGGGGCTACCAACAGCCACCGGAAAGACAACGACTGCGAACCTGTGTGTTGTTCTAGGAAGGGGGGTCAAAACAACTAGTATTGTGTCCAGTTGTTCAGTGCCACCCGCTTCCTGGTTTGACGGTGATGTGCCATTTGCAAGATGATTGACATGTCTTGAATCCCAGCAGGTCCCACAGCAGATCATCACCCATGCGATGCAATGCAGCAGACCACACAATAGACAAAGTGCCACAGATCACCAGCAAGCGCTGATCACTACAAACCACCAGAGAATATTTAAAGCAAACTTCCCGGAAGGCCAGGCAGCTTCCATCCTCTTTGAAACTGCTGAGATGGGGGGCTGGGCGGAGGTTGTTTAAACCCCGGCACCCACCAACTCTGAGGACCGGGGCTGTGGTCACTGAATTGGATCCCATTGCTGATGGGCGATTGCACTACAAGCTGCTTTCAGGAAATGGCCCTGCAACCGGTTGGGTAACTGTAGCAGTTGCTTGGCTGCAGGTCCCACAGAGTCCGACGTGGTTCCGTTTACGGCGGAGCGACGCATCCGGAATCTGTTTTTGGAGTCCAGGCTCAAGGAAAAGAGCTGATGAGACGAACCCAAGAAAGACCGTCGCCTTCTCCCGGTCTTCAGAGTCTTGTTTTGCATTGGAGTGGTATCATGTGTTGGGGTTCAATATGGTTCAATTGAATTACTGTTCCAAATTGCTTTTCTTGATGTTTGATGCGCGGCTAAGGTTTCTTTGATTGCACATCGTAGTATCAAATTAGAATCCAACCATCCAGTTGGTTGAACAGTGCTGCCTGACAATTTGCGAAAGGATGAATCTAAAATCAAACCTGGGCAAAGTGCCTCAAAAGGTGTTGAGGGTGCGGAAATCCGAGTAGCTGCGAACATTCATAGTGTGATACCCCGGAGATGTGGATAGCATGTCGGAACATAAACTTTTGTAGGACTGACAGGAAGATGTCAAAGATCCGAATCCTGGCCCTGGCAGGCCTGCTCCACTGCTTGACCCAACTCTAAACTGTTTGAACAGTTGGGCAGACAAGCTATTCCGTTCATTTTGGATCAGAGATTGCCAAGCAGTCAAAGAATATAACAAGGTGGAGTTGATGAGGACCACTCTTGAGTAGGTACAGGATAAGATTTGCATGTGAGAGATGATTCTGTTGGGAGCCGGCTGCTCAGCTCGCGCAGGTAGCCTGACCTGTAAAGAGATGATCAAATTCCAATGCGGCCCTTTGGCGGCGGCTTTGGGCAAGGCTGCTTTGGGCTTTGGGCACGGCATGTAGAGTCCTAGAAACAGGTGCATCGCTACTAGTAACAAGTGCATCGCTAGTAGAAACAAGAAGCATCAAGAAGCTATTAGAAACAAGTGCCTTACCAGTAGTAACAATAAGAATTTAATTGTATATGGAGGCTCCACAGTTCCAGACTGCTAGACTCAGCGCCAACAAGATCTCATGTCATGTCATGTTTTGTTTTCCTGAGCCTATCGCTACCCTCTTTGTGGAATAGATTTTTGTATTTTTGTATATAATAGTTTAATAGGATTTAATAAAGGGACTTAAATAAATTAATGAAACACTGTCAGAATAACAAGGAATTCAAAAGGAAATCAATAGGAATCAAAAGTAAGTTAAAAGGAAATCAATCATTAGAAACCAACATAATCATAGATAAGTAAACACATGTACAGAAAATCGTAGACATTATTGTGTGGGATGACATCATTGTAGGGGGTGTTATATTTTTGTAGAATATTATTGAATCGAAAGGAAGCAAAGACAAAACAGTTTAATTAACAATGAACACCATAGACATTATTGCAGGAGACGTTAAGCAGATATTATTACATGTCACCGGTGCAGAAAAACAAATAAAAAAACAACATAACACATAAATAATAGTTAAACACAATATTACTGTAAACAGAAAGGTGCAGACATTAATCAGGGAGGGGTGATTATATAGTCGAAAAACGCGTGTAGACATTATTCAGGGGAGGTTAACTAATCAAGATTCTACATTAGGCTGCATTGTCCCAGAGTGAATTCGCTGCAGGATGTAGCAGAGTGGACTTTCGCAGAGGGCACCGTGGCTCATCCCTTCGACGTCGCCTCCAAGAGCCTCACAGACTTTGAACGCCTTGTCGCTGGAAAGCGTGCCTTGTCCGGGTCGTTTTTGCGACACCAATGCCCTTCTCTCTACGTAGAGGATGTGTGGTGACAGCGCATTACATTTTCTCGCTTGGGCTGCAAGTTTGTGAGGGGGCATAAAGGATGTGTTCCCGCATCATCCAACGAGAGAGAACAAAAAAGACACAGACAGTGATAGTGATAACCAGACAAGTCTTGACAATGTTCATCCCGAATACTGTATTTGTTAAATACCCTGAGAGACCTGAGATTCAGTGCATGAGCGAGTGTTGAATTGGCAAACTGAATAGGTCAACAAATTTCATCGTGGTACATAGACATCTACCACTGCGAGAAGGACTGTTCTTGGGCAAATCACCAGGTTGCTTGAAGGCACCAATTTCCAAGAGGCTCCTTGTGATATGTAGGATATGGTAGTGAATATGGTAGACAGGTGCTCAAATGTCAGGAGAGAAGCGTCACAGAGAAACAGTTTGACAAGGAGGTTGACGTGGAATCTGCCGCTGGGCTTTCCGCAAGGAGGTTGTGAGGCAGAAGTGTCCAGAAACAAGAGTATATACTGTGAGCACATTTCATTAAACAAAAGCGTGTTTAACCAACTTGCTGGGGTTTGTCAACCCAGAATTGTATATATATAATATATATATATATAAACCTCAATGCCAAGTCCTTTCAAGTTTCGGCCATCCAAGTGTGGTTTACGAGGCCACTTGATTGAGTGGCTTTGGACTCCACTTTTACAACAAAGGATCCCAGTTGCCACCGACAATCTAAAATGGGCATTGTATATAAGTCATGCAGTATTTAGTATAAGAAAACATACAATGACCTCCGTACAATTTGAGTGTTAAAGGTGTGCTCAATCAATTGATTTATAGTTTTGAAGTCAGGATTTCCAGACCCATTTTTGGTAACTCATCAAAACTCTCACTGTTTCTCAAATATACGAGTGTTCAAACATGTTTAAACTTAATGACGTGAAACACCTATGACTGATTATAACCCACTTTAAATTTTGACGAATAGTTGCTTTACTCCATATCCGTCGATCGTCCGCTTTTGGCTCAAGTTGGAAAAGGGTGAGCTACCGCTGTGTTTGAGCTTCGATAATTTTGTGCATGGTAGCGGAGCTCTCGGTTGAGCTCACGGCCTGGGTTCTTGGAGTTTTCGAGGCGTTGGATTGGTGGCCTCTGGCTGTCCTTGTCATTGAATTGGGGTGGTGTCGGCTGCTTCGGCCGGCCTACTCCGGCAGGAGCGGAACAGAGAGGCTCAGGTGCTTGGCAAATGGAAGAGGCTGATTCGCAAGATCCAACGGGTGAGGCGATTGCAGCGGCTGTTCCACCACATCGGACAGCATCTACAGGAATCCATTGCCCAAGGACACCTTCGGAGATCGAGCGCTATCTATCACGATGGCAGGGCAGCCAGGACTAACCCCACAAGAACTCGTGCAGGCCGTGCAGCAGCTGCAGATCCAGGTCAGTGAAGGACAACAGGGAGAAGCTCAGGTCAGGGCGCAATTGGAAGCATTGCGACAGCAGCAGGCGCAACAGGCGACGGCAACAGCAAATGGGTTGCCGCCTGATGTCGGTGCAGCGTTCACCGCTCTAGCAACCAGCCAGAGAGAGTTGGTTGAGAGCTTGAAAACGAAGGACAAGAGACAGATGTCCCTCATCGATAACAAGGGCCCGGCGAAGCCCGACAGGTTTACCGGGAAAGAAGAGAGATTCCTGTACTGGCGAACGCGACTTGAAGCCTTTGTGACATCAGTGTTCAGCGCCTTTGAGGACGTGCTTCCATGGTGTGAGGAGTGCACCCAAACGATCACGGAAAGAGACATCGAGAATGCCTTGGGCGAGATCGCACCAACACAGAGTCACTGCAAGGAGATCCAGGAGATGAACATCCAGCTATTTGCCGTATTGCAAACCCTGTGCCAATTCACCATCGTTCGCTCCTGTGGAAAGAACAATGGATTTGAAGCTTGGAGACGCCTGACCCGTCGCTTCGATCCATCAACAGGTGGTCGGAGGAGAACGATGTTGAGACACATCCTGAATCCAAAGTGCAATAAGTTGGAGGACCTCTCAAATACAGTGGAGCAGTGGGAGGGGCAACTTCGTTTGTATGAGTCCCGCAAGCGTAGCGACGGCATAAGACATACGCTGGACAATGAGATCAAGATTGCAGTCCTCGAACATCTATGTCCACCAGAGCTTGAACGACATCTCCAGTTAACGTACCAGGAGGTTCGCTCTGAAGTCTCCCTCTACCTGGAAACAAGGCTTGGGAGTCGCCTGAGGATTGGTACTGCAGCCCAACCGGACGAAGCAGTGCCCATGGATGTTGGCGGCTTTGGAAAGGGAGGAAAGAAAGGAGACAAAGGTGGTAAAGGCAAGAACAAGGACTATAAAGGAAAAGGAGGAAAGAAGGGAGATAAAAGGAAAGGAAAGATGACCCCCAATACAAAACCGAAAAAAGACTGAAGATCGCAAGTGCCACAATTGCGGCAAGGTAGGACACCTTGTGAAGGATTGCTGGCAAGCTGGAGGCGGTCAAGCCAACAAGGGACAGGTTGGAAAGTCTTCCAAAGGTGGCGGCCGTGGTCGAGGACGAGGCAAAGGTTCCAAGGGTGTTGGCGGCCTCGACACTGAGGAACACGAGCCCGAGGCCGGTGGTCGATGTGTGGAGTGCTGTTGCTGCTGCTTCCAGATGAGATGCAGTGCAACGGGTAGCCATGAACGACACACATGCAATCTTTGCGATTCCGACTTGGAGGCCAATAAGGAGAAGAGGACCTGACGGCCATCTTTGAGATGTTGAAAATGACCAGACCGGAAGACTTCCCCTTCATTCTCGATAAGACGATTTGCGTGATGAAGGGAATGAGCAAAGAACGTTTTGAGGCCTTGAGTGAATCGAAGAAAGAAGATTTGAGAAACAAGCTAGATCCCGACAAGACCATCCGTAAGAATAAGGAGATGCTGGACGAGATTGAGAAGCATCGAGAGAGCCTGAAGGTGCTGTATGGAGGTCCGCGAGCGCCGAACAGCGATCGAGATCGCCGAAGATGAAGAAGAAGTGAAGAAATTGGAAAGCGAGATTCAAGAGCTCTAGGAGCAAAAGAAGAAAATGAAGGAAAAGGTCGCAGAAGACGAACGCAAAGCCAAGGACGAGGCCAAGAAGAAGAAGTCCGAACTCGACGTCTTCGACCAGAGTTGGCATGACAGCCGCTACTGCATGACTGGAAATGAGTTATCGAAGACATATGTAAGTTACCCTACATGTTAGGAAGTTATAACTTCTACATATAAGTTATTTACGAACAATTTATAAGTAGGATAAGTAAGTTATAAGTAGTTTATAAGTAGGTGCTAAGTAGTTAACTTTTTCTGAAAATTAGACCTTCGCATTCGGTACGCGCAGCACGCAGGCGCACTTTTTCAACGCGCAGCAGTGCTCAGTGGATGCAGGTGATCCTTGCCCCGTCACTTCTCCACCAACGCACGGTCGTCTCCACTCACGCGCGGTCGTCCACTTGCAAGGTCAAGCACGTCCGGCGCTGAAAGGTCTTTCCTTTCAGTCTCCCGGGTGTGTCCGTGGGCAGGTCGCGCCTGCACAGCTTTACACACCCGAGAGTTCGGTCCCTCCTGCGCCGGGATGTCCTCTACCACTGCCGCCATCAAGACGTCCAGCCCACTTTATGGAGCTAAGCGGAGACACGTTCGAGCCAGAGCAAGCTACAAAATCATTGGTTTTTTAAACTTTCCTACATAGGGGGTCCGACATCGACCGACATCGGCCGACGTTGCGCGTTCGTCGAAGTCTAGACGCGGGCCTTATTTACTTATGTAGGGGCCGACATGGTCCGACGTGCGTAGAAACACACCTTCGAAAACAAGGTCCGACATCGACCGACATTGACCGACATCGACCCTATTGAAAAATGTATATATGCACTTCCCCACAAACCAACCTATAATCTATATATACATATATATATATATACTCTAGAAGCAACTACGGAGCCCTGCCCACACCACTAAAAGTAGCCGCGCTTTTTCTCAGGTCGCGCCGCTAGCGTATGTCAGTCTCTAGCCAATCCGTATGTTTGCTCTGTGGGCAAACGAAGCTGCAGTCTCCGGTACAACACATCGCACAGATATGTGCACCTCTCTCGGTTGGAGTTGGTCGCTCCCAACCGTTGCCAGTCCTCTAAACTCAGAAACTCATCCAAGCGGACATAGTGTTGCTGCTGTCTCCTGCCCTGTTGTTCCGCCATCACTATACAGTGTCTCAGTGACAATTCCTCAAATCCATCAAAACAAACAGTTCCTAACTCGTTGTAACTTCAACTAAGTAGTTGTAACTAAGATATATCTAAGTTATATGTTCTAAGTAACTAACCCTCTAATACTTATAACTAACTTATAAATACACTAACTAACTTATAAAATACTTTAACTTCTATAAGTATAACTAGAGTTAGCCAACTTAAACCTTAACTTATCGAAGTTAAAGCCTAAGTTATCAAATTACAAGTTCAGTTACCGAAGATATAACTTACCTATAAGTAACATAACTCATTTCCAGTCATGCAGTACCACCAGGCCATCAAGAGCGGAGTTAGCCACTCTGCAGGGGCTCAGGAGAAGAAGAGGAGAAAGGCAGCCCTGAGAAGGAAGTCTGGTGTGGTCGAGCGGCGCGAAGAGTTCAAGAAGGCCGATCTTGCTTGGCATGAAGAGTTTGACAGCAAGCCCGTCAAAGAGGAAGAGTTCGAAGACGAGACTGCAGGTGGCATGGAAACCGAAGCTGTGGCAGCCATTGACGACAACACTTTTCGCGTTCATTCCGGACGAGCAAAACAAGTGAGCGCGAGCACCATCAAACCGGAAGAGAGAGGCAAATTATTCGAGTCTGCGAAGAAGTATCGCAGGCTGACGCAAGATGAGGTTGAGAAGTTCAAGACTGAGACCAAGGGTGATGAACTGAATGTGATGAGGCGCAGGCGAGTGAACATCTTTGCACAGCGTGTGAGAAAGATGGACAAGCAGAAGAAGGACAAAAGACGTTTGAGGATCAAGGCAGCTAGACAAAGGAAGAGGAGAGAAGAAAGCGAGGCGTTCTATATCTCAACCATCCGAAGGATGCTATGCGCTGTGAGAAGTTCGTCAAGAGCTTTTGCAACAAAGGAAGAGGCTGTCCCATGATCCATTCAGAAGTCCATCGAGAGAAGCACCACATCGACGCCAGACATGCCAAGGTTGGAAAGGACATGGCTCGAGTGAGGCTGGTCCCGAACAAGGCCTCACGAGCAGAGCTGAACAGCTTTGGCAGCGAAAGCACAGAATCAGAATCCACCGAATGGACCCACGTTGTTGCAGGTTTTGATACAGGCGCAGCAGTAACAGCAATCCCAAGCTCACTGAAGAAGACCCTGGGTTTGAATCCTTCGGAGACCATCGCCAGGAACTACAAGACTGCCAGTGGCGAGTTGTT